AAATCCTTTCTCTCCAGTTCTCAGAGCATGAAAGTTTTCTGCTGTCTTTGGAACTTTGTCTGCAAACAGCTAGAAAGAAATGCAGCCCAAGCGCTCGCTGTTGACAGCGATGTCAAAGAAAACAGTGGGGTTGACCAGGGCTAGACAAGGGAGGCTCCAGGGTGGCGGCATCTGCAAGGCCTAACTGTTGCTTCTTGACCCACATACAGGTTTCTCAGGAGACAAGTAAGATGGTCCGGCATTCCCGTCTCTCTAAGAACTTTCCACAGTTTGTCATGATCCAAGCAGTCAAAGGCTTTAGCGTAGTTGATGAGATGTTTTTTGAAATTCCCTTGCTTTCTCTGTAATCCAGAAAATGTTGGCAATTTGATCTCTAGTTCCTCTTTCTTTTCTAAACACAGCTTGAACATCTGGAAGTTCTTGGTTCATATAATGCTGAAGCCTAGCATACGAAATTTTAAGCATGATCTTACTAGCGTGGGAGATGAGTGCAACTGTCTGATGTGCAATTTAGTGCAGTCTTTTGCATTGCCCTTCTTGGGAACTGGGATGAGGATTGACCTTTTCCAGCCCTGTGGCCATGGCTGGGTCTTCCAGATTTGCTGATATAATGAATGCAAAACCTTGATGGCATCATCCTTTAGGGATTTGAATAGTTCTGCTGGAATTTCATTGCATCCACTAGTTTTATTAACAGCCATGCTTCTTAAGGCCCACTTGACTTCACACTTCAGAATGTCTGGCTCTCTGGATTACCACACCATTGTAGTAATCCTATTCATGAAGATCTTTTTTCTTCAGTTTTTCCGTGTATTCTTTCCATCTCTTCTTGATCTCTTCAGTGTCTACTAGGTCTTCACCATTTTTATCCTTTATTGTGTCCATCTTTGGGTGGAATGCTCACTTGATGTTTCCAATTTTCCTGAAGAGATCTCTAGTCTTTCACTTTTTTGTTGTTTTCTTCTATTATTAACCATTGTTCATTGAAGAAGGCCTTCTTGTCTCTTCTAGCTGTTTTTTGGAACTTTGCATTTTAATTAAACGTATCTTTCTCTCTCTCTTGCTTTTTGCTTCTCTTCATTCTTCTGCTGTTCGTAAAGCCTCCTCAGATAACCACTTTGCCTTCTTGCTTTTCTTTTTCTTGGTTCAGGTGGTTCAGAATCCCAGCTCTAGTACTGCTAATTAGTTGCATACCCTTGGACTAGTCCCCTGAACTCTCCTAGTCTGGGTTTCTTTATTTGTGAATTAAGAACAGTGTTACTAATGGCTCTATTGTGAGGATCAAATGAGGTAATGGTGGTGACAGTGCTTTGTAAACAATAACCACCCCACACATCTAGGATAATACTCATAGTGCCCACAACTCTTCTCCTTCTGAGTCAATGTTTGACTTGACTTAGTTGCCTTTGTATTTTAAAGCAAGAAAAAAATCACTTTATCCTTTTAATCTTTAGCAAATAAATGAAGCCTTTGGGCTTAGATCCTTAGAAGAGGCAAACTGCGTGTCCTGATGTGACCCAGGTCTTTGTGTGTACTCTCTAGATCTCATGTTCATTTTGCTTTTAATTACAGCATTACAGAGTGGAAACTTTAAAATGACACCTTTTAGAACTAGTCATTATTTAGTGACTCTACATTTAAAAAATATTTCTCATGTCTTTAAAATAAATTGTCAGGTTCTTTTGTTATTCAGTTCAGTTTAGTTGCTCAGTTGTGTCCAACTCTTTGTGACCCTATGGACACCAGGCTTCCCTGTCCATCACCAGTTCCCAAAGTTTGCTAAATCTCATGTCCATTGAGTCAGTGATACCATCCAACTATCTCATCCTCTGTCATCCACTTCTCCTTCTGCCTTCAATCTTTCCCAGCATTAGGGTCTTTTCAAATGAGTCAGTTCTTCACATCAGGTGGCTAAATTATTGGAGCTTCAGCTTCAGCATCAGTCCTTCCAGTGAATATTCAAGACTGATTTCCTTTATGATGGACTGGTTGGATCTCCTTGCAGTCCAAGGGACACTCAAGAGTCTTCTCTAACATCACAGTTCAAAAGAATCAATTCTTCAGCACTCAGCTTTCTTTATGGTCCAACTCTCACATCCATACATGACTAGTGGAAAAACCATAGCTTTGACTAGACAGACCTTTGTTGGGAAAGAAATATCTCTGCTTTTTAATATTCTGTCTAGGTTGGTCATAGCTTTTCTTCCAAGGAGCAAGCATTTCTTTTAATTTCATGGCTGCCGTCACCTTCTGCAGTGATTTTGGAGCCCAAGAAAATCAAGTCTGTCACTGTTTCCATTGTTTCCCCATCTATTTGCCATGAAGTGATGGGACTGGATGCCATGATTTAGTTTTTTGAATGTTGAGTTTTAAGCCAGCTTTTTCACTCTCTTTATTCACTTTCATCAAGAGGCTCTTTAATTCCTTTTCACTTTCGGTGGTATCATCTGCAAATCTGAGGTTATTGATGTTTCCTCCAGCAATCTTGATTCCAGCTTGTGCTTCATCCACCCCAGCATTTTGCATTATTAATACCCAGTGTAATGCCCAGCATTATTACTACTTTGGCCTAAATATAAATTTGTTGACAGAGTGATGATAATGGTTTTTAGTTTAGTTTTATTTTTTAAAACATTTCCTTGAAATTGTAATAATTTAAAAGATTTATTTATTTAAACATATTACATGTTTAAGTTAAATTTAAATGTTTAAATTGTATAGACATTTTGTTCTGTGTGGCTGAAGAGAAATGTGAAAATATATAGACTTTTAAAAAAATTATTTATTTACTTAATGTCGGGAGAATGTGTAATTTCCTTGGTTCTGTCTTGCTGCAACAAAGATTTGAAATTGCAGACCAGTGTTGTAGCTTGGTTATGGCTCAGAGTTTTATTCAGTAAGCAAAGAATAGTACACCCTGGAGGCGTGAGGGTGTCCGCCTCAAAGGAAAGGCCTCAAGCCTCTTTTTACAAGTTTTGTTTCCTGCCCCCTGAGCCTGCCCAATGCAAATTAGGCCTGGCCAGGAAGGGGGAGTGTTTGTTTCACCAGAGATTCTCACTCAGGTCTGCGGATTTTCTTTTGTTCTGTCTTTCACGGACTTTTCCCTTTCTTTGTCTTTCAGCCACCGCCATTTTGGACTCCTTTTTCCTATTCTAACTACCTAACATTTAACTATTTATTCTTGGCTGTGCTGGGTCTTCATTGGTGTTCTGGTTTCTCTCTCATTGCAGCGGGCAGGGGCACTCTAGTTGCAGGACAGGTACAGCTTCTCATTGCGGTGGCTCCCTTGTTGTGAAGCACAGACTCTCGGGCATGTGGGTTTCAGTAGCTGCGGCACGTGGGCTCCATAGTTGCGGATCCCAGGCTCTAGAGCAAAGGCTCAACAGTTGTTGCTCTGTGGCATGTGGAATCTTCCCAGACCAGGGTCAAACCCACGTCTCCTGCATTGGCAGGTGGATTCTTTCCCACTGAGCCACCAGGGAAGCCCCCAAATATATGGAATTATATAACTAGGATAATTGGGAGTTCTGTACTCCTTTCCCTTCTGTGCCCACAATCTTTCCACACTCCTGCCTCATACTAGAAGAAAAACAGCGAAGGTAGTTATCTGAAAAGAGAAAACTGTCAAAGGTACCTGGTCCGAGTCACCATTATTCTTGCCTCGGTATTCAAAATAGCCACCTATCTGGTTTTCCAGCTTCAATCTGTTCATAAAATAGCAATCAAATGATTCTGTTAACATCCACGTCAAATAATGCCACTTGTATGTTCAGAAATATCCGATGGCCTTTACTCCTCAGTCTTCATTTCCTGCCCACCCCTTCACTCCCTCAATCCAACCACACTGGCCTTCTTGACCCCCAGGTCCACTTCAGCCTTGACCTGAAAGATGCTTCCCTCAGGTGTCCACAGGAGTAGTTTCCTCACCTCCTTCAGGTCTGTTCACCTTTATGGCAACTTCCTTGTCATCTCTTAAAATTCCAACTCTCACCCCACCCCTATGTTCCTTCCTTTTGTAACAGTTATTACTTAATAACGTAACAATATGTTTATTTATTTCTTTTGTTTATTATCTGTCTTCCCCTCACTGACCCAGGAGTGCAAAGGGTTTTTTGTCTGTTTCATTAACTGCTGTATCCTCAAAACCCAGAAGAGTGCCTGGCTCTTAGTAAGAGATCAATAAATGTTTGCTCAATGAATGGATGAATAAAACAAAGATAAGTCATGGTCTTATTTGATTTTCTACACTTACTTGATTTACAACACTTTACTTGAAAAATTGCAAAATTTTCATTAAAAACTCTTAAAAAATGACACAGAATCTTTGAATATCTCCTGAGGATGAGACCTATGACTATAACATCCAAAGCATCAGTGTTCTTTTCCGAATATTTTGGACATTCTATGTCTGAAAAATTAAGATCTCCTTTAATCTATCACTGTAAAGTCTAATGTAAGTGTAACTATGTAAACCACTCCTAATTTGTCATGAAATGAGGAAGAATTGAATTATAATGAAAAATCTGCCCTTTGTTTTCTTTTTTTTATCTTTTCATTTTTTTCTTTTTTAAAAAGTATTTATTTATTTTAATTGAAGGATAATTACTTTATAGTATTGTGATGGTTTTTGCCAGACGTCAGTATGAATCAGCCATAGGTGTACATGTGTCCGCTCCATCCTGATGTCCTCTGTTTTCTTTGGCTCCATAATTTCCTGATGATCTTAATTTTGGCCATCCATTTTCTGACTTCTGTTTCTCTCCGATTTCCAAGATACAGATATTAACAAAGAGTCTTGCTTGTATTTCTTCTCTCACTTGGCATGCTCTTATCCATTCTTATGGCTTCTGTTACCTCCTTTTTTAGATTGCTCTCAAATGTAGAAGTCCAATCTTGACATTTCTTTTCTTTTCTTTTTTAATTTGTTTGTGTATTTATTTGGCTGTGCTGGGTCCCAGTTGTGGCACACGGAATCTTTAGTCGTGGCATGTGGGATCTAGTTCCCCGACCAGGGATAGAACCTGGGCCCCCTGCATTGGAAGTTCAGAGTCCTAACCACTGGACCATAGGGAAATCCCCAAGCTTGACATTTCTTATTGGCTCCCAGTTCTACATTGTCCAGGGTGGTTACATCCACCTGGCCATCTTTCAAGTTCTCAAACCTCTCATATCTAAAATCACATTTACCTTTTTCCTTTGAAATTCTTTCCGATTCCAGTAACCTATTTCTGTTCATGACTCTGCCTTCTTCCAAGCTTGGAACTGTTTCCAAGTATTGTAATCATTTGTGACTATTTTTTTTTTCCACATTGTCAGGTGTCAAGCCTTGCTGCTTATACTTTTAGAATATCGTTTTAACCATCCTCTTCTTAGCTTTCAGTAGATCAGGGATGGGACCTGAGATTCTGCATTTCTAATATGCTTCTGCAGCAAGCTGATGGTGCTGCTGCATTGACTGCACTTTGATAAACAAGGCCCTGCTCTAGGCTGACAGTGGCCATTTGACCTAGTTGCCCACTTCCCAGCCCATGGCCAAATCTGAGACTCAATTCTCTTTCAAAAATAGATATCAAATATTGCCTAGTCTTGCTTGAAAAGTAAAAAGGTCTTTTCTGTGTCATAGAAGATTTGGAAAGTTACAGAGTCAGAAGATAAAAAATTCAAATCAACCACACTGGTCATTAATACTTTGAGATATGTATTTCCTTTTAGTTGTTTCTCTATTGTAAATATATGTTCAGGTTATATCTGTGTTTTTCAGACCCTAAAAGGATTGTTTATCTTTTGTTTCCCAGTGAAAATTTGTTAAGTGTATTGAATCCCCTGACTTACAAAGTAGAATCTGCCTCTTCTATATCATAAAATGCTCACTGCTCCTTTGCTCAATCTCCCTTATAGCTGGGAACTGAGGACTTGGTACAGCCAAGCAGATGCATCCTCTAGGCTTTGATTCAGGACCTGGTGACTCAAAGCAGCAGGGATGACGCAGAATCCGTCCTGGCCAGGGCACAGCAGCGACGGCAGCTGCATCCGGCTTCCAGTGGCAGCAGAGACAGCTGTTCTGGGGCAGTGTGCAGTGTCCGGCATCTGAAGGCTTGGCAGAGCAAGCCGCGGGCTCAGTGCTTGGCAGCTGCCGTGATGACTTCACAGGAACAGCTCTGCAGGGCGTCTTGGGTGTGGTTCTTGCCCCGTGGTTTGTCTTCCCACCTTTACTTCTTAAATGGGTTTAAAAGTTGAATTAGTTTACTGGCAACAAGCACTAATGATGTTAATAATAACTAACTCTTAGATACTGACAATAACTGACTCTTGGATATTAACAATAGCCAGCTTTGGATGGTGCTTACTATGTGCCGGGCAGATTTCAAAGTGCTTTGTGTATATTAATTCATTTAATTTTTACACCAACCCTATGACATATATACTGGTATTATTTCCAGTTTACAGATGATGAAACTGAGCTGCAGAGAGGACAGGTTACACGTTCAAGGTCATATGGCTAAATAGCAGCTCTGAAACTCTAATTTAGTCAGTCTTAACCTAGCTCTTAAGAGGTAACATTTCATATCCTGATTTTTTCATATAATAGAAATTTTGTGAGCATTTCCATGTTCCTCTGAATATTTAAAGTAGTTGTATACTGTTCAATTATAAGGCTGATTCATGATTAATTTAACCAACTTGCTGTTGTTGGACATTAAGTATATCCTGGTGGCAAAACTTTTTTTTCTTGTTTCAGTTAATACCTATGACTATTTCTCTAAGACAAAGTTCTGCGGGTGAAATGCTTGGTCAAAGGGTATTCTGATTGCCTTCCAGAAATATTATTCCAGTTTACACATACAGCAGTGTGTGGGAGCATCCTGTTTTCCTTGAGACCTTATTAGCACTGAATATTATTAACATTTTAAAATTTGTGGTACTGAAAATGACACATAGTTTTCTTTTAAATCCAAAATTCTCTAAATATTTAAAAATACTTTTATTGACCATTTGTTCAGAGTTCTTTTTGTGAATTGACTGCCTCCATCACCTGTGGGGTAAAGTTGAAACTTAGAAGGCAATTCAAGGCCTTTCAACTCTGACCCCAACTACTTTCTTAACCTGTTCTCCTAAACATTCACCCAACATACCAGTGGGGATTATTTTGTGTTAGTTGAAACCATATGAGGATACTATGTTTGTAGACCAGAAAGTGATTGACTATTGGCAGTTTTATGTGGTTAAACCTTGTAAATCTCCAAACGTTTGCTCTCCCACTAGTATTTTCATGAATGTCCTCTGCCTGTCTTTGCTTGGTGAAGTCTTTCGTGTTCTTGATGGGCTGAGTTCACCGGCATGTTCCCTGCTCCTTTGCATCCGTATCCTGTTCGCCTCTCACTGTAGCTGAGGTTGCTGTGAATCACCCTTCTCCATAATTTCCACTCTGTGTCTTTCCTGTCAGAGCTCTAGGATGGTCCTAGGGTACTGCCGCTGGATAATGTGTTTGCATCTGTGTGGCAGACGCCAAGCCCTCTGCTGCTTTTGGCCAGCAGAGACTCTGTCTTATTTACTTTGGCAGCCACAAAGCTAGCAGAGTTTCAGGCTCATAGCAGATACACAACAAATATCTGTTGACTTGAAGAACCAGTAATGCTAGGACCCAGAAAGTGCCTTATTAGCCACATATTCATTGTGATTTCCTTCCACATTAAGTAAGGAAGAACATGTGTAACACTCTCTTGTATCTTCTAATTTGACCAGTTAGTATTGTGTTTGGAATCAGTCTTCCTTATTTTGAATCCTCCATCCTTATAATTTTTTTCCTGTATTTTTGGATGTGATCATTATATTGGAAATCATTGAACATTATATTGGAAGCAAGATTCTCAAGGATGAAAGAACACAGTTCTCTTGCTAGCTAAATAAGTAATCTCTGTACTTCTTATTTTTTTCCCTTTTAACCATATTCACCTTTTTTTCTTGTGTGAACTTTCAGGAACTTTTAGTGACTTCCAGGAAATACTAATGCTAATGCTAAAGTTACTATAACAAGATTCAGGATCGTCAAAAGTAAAAATGTTTTTAAATATTAAAAGCATTTCAACTGAGCCTTAAGATAAAGGTTTCTGTTTTTAAAAGAGATACATAGTGCATTCAGCTTAAATTGTAATTCAGGAAGAAAATCATGGAATCATATAACTTTAAAGGTAGAGAAGAACTCCCAAGTATGAACTCAATATGTACTGTCTGGTGGAACAATCCAAGTAAGAGTGGAGGAGAGAAGATAACTTTGGCTCCATATTCCCCCACCCAGTTAATTTTCAAATGATATTTCCACCTTTGTTCATCTCTTACCTACATATCCTGCCTTTGCCATGCCTTGAAGAAGTTCAAGTAGAATAGTGTCAATGCCAGGCCTTGTGTTTTTTTGTTTTTTAAATTTTATTTATATATTTTTCGCGGTGCTCAGTCCTCATTGCTGTGATGGGTCCTCACTGCCGTGCATGGGCTTCCTCTAGTTGGGGCGGGCAGGGGCTGCTCTCTAGCGGCGGTGCCCCGGCTTCTCACTGTGGTGGCTGCTCTTGTCGCCAGCTCTTGCGAGCTCTAGAGTGTGGGCTCCAGTTGTGGCACATAGGCCTAGTTGCTCCGAGGCATGTGGAATCTTCCTGGACTAGGGGTCGAACCTGTGACCCCTGCATTGGCAGGCATACTTTTAACCATTGGACCACCGGGGAAGGCCTCCTCTGTGTTTTTACTCGGAAGGGACTGGATGCCCGGACACTGGCCTTTTCTTTCCTGCTTGGCCATTGGTATCTGTGTGTTCAGCCTTTTGCCTTTTGTAAGTGGGCTCCTCTAGCCAGGGAGCTGGTTCAGTTCCCAGACCCAAAGATCAAAAGGTCTGCTTAAGATTTAAAATAGGGGACAGGATGTTACAATGAAGAAGACAGGTATTAACAAATCAGCTACTGACAAGAGTATAGAGAAACTGGAACCCTTCTGTACTGCCTGGGGGAATGAAAAATGGTACAGCTGCTTTGGAAAGCAGTCTGGCAGTTTGTCAAATAGTTAAACATAGAGTTACCATATGATTAAACAATTCCACTTCTAGGTATACAGAAGAGAAATGAAAATATATGTCCACACTAGAGTTTATGCTTGTACATGAATGTTCTTTGCAGTATTATTCAGAATAGCCACAAAGTAGAAAAAAACCTAAATTATCATTAGCTAATGAATAGATAAATAAAATGTGGAATGTTATTCAGCAATTAATAGGAATGAAGTACTGATACATGCTACAGCATGGATAAACCTTGAAAAGAGGCTGAGTGAAAGAAGCCAGTCATAAAGGACCACACATTGTGCGATTTTATGTGAAATTTCCACAAAGGCAATTCTCTACAGATAGGAAGTAGATTAGTGGTTGCCCAGAGTGCTGGCTAAGAGGGGTGAGGTTTCTTTTTGGTATAATGAAAAGTTCTAAAATTGATTGTGGTGATAGATATACAAGTTTGTTAATATACTAAAAGCCACTAAATTATATACTTTAAATAGGTGAATTGTACAGTATGTGAATTATATGCTAATAAAGTTGTAAAAAGGAAAGAATGTGTGTTCTTTTCTTTTAATTTTGTCTCCTATTACTTCTCTGACTAGTTGGACATTCCCAGCGTAATTTCACATTTGCTTTGCCCTTTAATTCTGCTTGAAGTCCAGCCAATAGCTAATGTAACAGGGTAGAAGTTTAACTCACACTACAGCTCAGATGCAAAGAGAAAATGGAAGTTCTTTATTTAGTATATAATTAGTCTGGCTTTCCTCCTGAAGCCCAACTAATGGATAGTGGGAAAAATGAATGGCATGTTTTGTTACCAGTCTCTGGGAGGCTGCTGGTATGGAAGGGAAGGCTGGAACGCATCTACCTGCTGCTAACACATACTATTCTTGCTGCAACTAGATCCACTTAAATGACCAGTGGACAGTGTGGTGCTCCATATGTATGATTCTGAATTCTTGTCTTGATTCTTGATCCTGTGCCTTACTTTGGCCTCTGTTTTTTATGTGATTCAAGACTTGCTTTGAACTCTGGT